TTCTGCGCGTTCATGGACCTCGACTGCATCTTGGTCCATAAAAACGTAAAAGAGATCTTGGCCAAGATCCTGCCATCTTGATCTCACGCTTGAATAACAACACACATATCTTAGCAGCAATGGTGTCTCTGTTAGGCTGTGTTGACGGGAAATAGAATCTTCCGTTTGACATGGTCATGGGAGAAAATTCCATCAACACACTATCGTGGCCATAAATAACTTTTCGTGTAATCATGCGACGGTAAATAAAGAAGGTAGGAGACTTCAAGGTCACTAAAATAAGCGATGTAAAAGATTTGCCATAAGTGATGTAAAAGATTTGCCATTTGCACAATGATCCTTATTTTTTTTTTGTCACAATATTCAAAACCGTACAAAACACATTTCTTGTTAATGCCAGTTCTTGGAATTTGGCAGTTGACACTATAGTTAACACTTAACCACTGGTCCCAGAGAGACCGTTAGTTTTGTTTCCGAGAATCTTTAAGGGCCTCTTCATGTGAGCCCTGTCAACCGAGGTGGCTCGGTTTCCGAGATTTCGTCTCGCTACTCTTTCCTTCGTAAAAATTTCGATGTGTTCATATGAGAAGCCGGGCCGGCCCGGTTACCGAGATCTCGGTTTTCGCAGAAAATTTTCCCATATTGACACTCCAGCCCGGGTCACCGGGAAGAAACTTTTTTGACAAAATAGCTTCGCTTTCGCAACACAGTGGCCAAAATGACCTAATTTTTGTCTTGAAAGTATTTCCATTTCAGAACTATGCGATTTACCTTTATTAGTAAAGTTACAAGAGTCCACAAAGCTACGACAGACGCGAACGATACATTTTTGTTTCTTGAATTTCATCCCGTTCGATCGGGCTGAAATTTCCCATATGAATACTGAGACAATAAAACTCGTCCCGGTAACCGAGCCAGCCCGGTTACTGGGCTCATATGAAGAGGCCCTAAGTTTCCTGACACACAGCCGAGGGAAACAGATTTGAGCTGTGAGGGAAGCAAAATTGACAAGCTTTGCGGGACCAGCTGGTTAACCTTTATTGATTCATCCAAGATTCTGCAAAACTTTTGGCGGAAAGCAGTTTTATTGTCAGACGTCATGTGACCTAGCAGTCAATGAGACACGCTAAAGGGAGAAAAACAGATTATATCGTCACTGGTCTGTTTGTAATGAGAAACTGGAAGCTGATCAATCATGGGTGAGAGCAAATCTAGTGAAAACTTTAACTCATGAAATATACATTCTCACTGAAAGTGGCAGCATTGACCCTGCCATGTTCCTGTAGAACTCTTTCCCAAGCCTTTATTAAGCGCGAATCTGTTTGGGTAACGCAAACGGATAACAAGGGGACGTGGTAACTAACTGCTGACCGAAAGAGCTCATGCTTCGCATGACAGGAGTTTGGGCTGATACGAAGATGAACCACTCCTCAATAACCAAGTTTGGGGTAGTGGCAGTCGACAAAATTTGTTTTGGAGCCATTCCAAACTTGAAAGAAATTCTGGTCAGGCCTCCATGTAATCTCCATTTTGCTTTCCCACTGCTAAAACAATGTGTTCAAGTGAAAGCTTTTGTTATCCTGGGAAAAATTTTGATTTATAGGTTGAAAGACAGCTGAGAATCAGTAGGAAAACACTGCTCAGGAGATACAGAGGCAAGGCGATACTAACAGTGAAAGAGACTACGAGAACAATTCCAAACCTAATCTTATCTTTTATTACACAAACTAATCATACATAATAAATCTTAAATGGCATATATCACGTTAAGTGGATTTAAAGAATAAGATACTGCTGTCCTTGCTCATAAAACTAAGCACACTAGGCATCTCAGTGAAGGAAAAGGGATTTAAAGAAGTAACCACAAAGGACAAGTCAAGATTCAGATTGACGCACAATTTTTTAGATGCTGACAGCATTCATCAGACAAAAATGCCCGTTTCTTCATCTGAAGAACCAAAAGAATTACTTTCAATGGGATACTCGATAGAAACATGGAGAACATGTTTTCTATTTCTTTTAGAAAACACCGCGACGGAAAAAAGGAAAACAACTTGTTAACTTTGATATAAAAGTTGATATATAACCGTGTGAATACATACAAGATACGGACGACATCTTGAACTATACAGAAAATACGGTAGATTTACAAAACGTAAATGCACATATTTTGTGCCAGTGACAGACGACATAGTAAAAAATGAGGAAACCATTAAGATGGATTTCTGAGCGACCACAGATGTCTACATGCATCCTCTTACTTAAGAGTGCGGACTCCCGTATGCAAACCCTTTGAATTCTTCTTAACGTTCAAACCGCAAAAAAGCCGCACACTTAAACATCTTAACTCATAAAAATTGTCCATATTTAATAATTGTATCGCGCTCTTGCCATTTTCCTAGTGACTTCTCGAATTTCTTTGGCCATGCACTCTCTTATTTTCACTAAGTACAGTATGTATATCGTAAAAATCACTAGTAAGCTAAAATATAAATATTCTCAATGAAGTTTCCTTTAGAACATAAACTTTATAGCTTTGTACAAGACACATTTGTATAGATTTTACAACGCAGTATTTGCAACAAAAATATTAAAAAACAAAAATCGAAGATATCGACCAATATTCCAATGCACTGAAAATTGCAAGAAAAAAAAAACTGATTTGTATTCCCCTGAATCATGCAATTTAATCGGTTGCTCGATAGAGAAGTCCGAGTTATTTTCATTTAGACTGCTTGCTCTTCTATCTTCTAGGTCGCCAGTGTACTCAGACGGTTTCATGTCTTGTTTTCTGTCAAAAATCGATAGTAAGAACCCCGTTTATCAAGCTTGTCGAGTACGTTGTAGAAATGTTGGCAGTGTTATGCGCTTTGTTTACATACCTCCCCCGCCACAACAAAATTGTCATCTCTGTAACAAAACATTCGCAAAAGAATATATCCCACAAAACCAACAGCAATACAGTGTATTAATCAACTAAATAGTGAATTTATCTGAAAAATGTGTTAAAATATCTATAGACATGAATAATAGAGGAATGCAATTTACTTCATACTATAATACACAATTTCCAAAGAAACGTCTTGACCATGTTGAAATAAGACTGAAGACTTTTCAGAAACAGTAGCTCTTAAGGAAACAAACAACCTGCTTTCGTTCAAACATGTTCTCTCCCCTGAGCAAGAAACCTTGACAACTACTTTCATCTCCCTGAGTACGACATCGTAGTTAAGGCTGGCTTTCAACAGCGAATAAGCATAAGCAGACTCAGGAAGGTGTTGCTAACTGGCGCTTTCTGTTGCAAAATTTCCCAACAAAAGGCGCTTCTTAACAGCACGTTACTACGTCTGCGTACATTTATGTCGCTTACGCTTATGCTTATGAGGAAGTAAAAATCAGCCTTAAAATTCCAACAGAAATATTCTATATTACGATCCACTTGAAGCATGCACAGAAATTATACCCAAAAGCAAGCAGAGGCCGGCTTAATGATAGTGTTCAAGTATCATTAGACGAATCTTTGTTAAAGGAGCTCAGTCACGGTTTGCGCATATTGAAAAGTTTAGCCTCAAGTTTTCAAATTCGTCGTTTGTAATCCGTGTCAATCTTCTCCATCCTTAGCCATCCTTGTTCCTTTATGGTTTATCATTACCTGTTTGGTGTTTTTCAATCCTACTAAACTGTTATTTTCAGGTTTCCTACCATTTAAAGGTAATTTTGTATGTGGCCAAAATAACTCAAATACCGTGACTAAGCCCCTTCAACGACGTTTGACTCATTAGCATAAGAGCTTCTGTCTCTGATATCAACTCTGAATGTTGAAATTACATGACACTATCAAATGTTCCAAGACATTTAAGTCCAATATATTAAATATGCTTTGCAAAACCTCAAATTTGTCAACAACAGCGCACGTTTCCCGCCCACAGTTTTTCAGTTTTTGAAAGCTAATATCCCCTGCAATGTTACACGCAGATAGCTAAGAATTCGACGACTACTAAGTTTCACAAGCTCTCTAACTTTGTTGTCTATTCGTATCTAGTGTAAATGTACTAGCGTTCTATCACAAATGCCGTTCTCTGATTGGCTACGCTACTCACTCTCTATTCTGTGATAGTGTGTAGCGTAGCAGTGTAACCTTGTTAACAAAATGACGGCCCCTTCTTAGCGTTTTCGAAGTGTCTGTGAAGTGGATTTAGATAAAAAGTTTTGAACGACTGGTAGATTTATACTAAAACAATCAGATTATTCGCTCTCGATTTCCATGCGTGATAGAAATCTCGAGCTCATAATCTAATTGTTTAATAGCATTATGGCTTCTCCACACAAAGTCGTATGCTGATGAGCCAAAACGTAACCAATAACGTCAGCAGAGATACGCGTTAAAGGTTAACCTCAAATCTAAGATTATTACCTACAGATTGAATGTGCCTGTTCTCTCAGGCAAGAAACGACAAAACTATTTACACGTTTCAAGTTAATGAAATATTTAACACTTTGCAAGAAAGTGAATGACATTTAGAATGGACCAAACACATAGCATCTCTGATATCAGGTCTAAAACTGACAAATGTGGTTGGAAAAAGCACTGATTGTTCACCATTTATACCAGGAAACTCGTTGCGCGGTTTAGAAATTTTCCGGTCAGGCAAACCCAAATTAGTGTTACCACTTACATTCCAACCAAAATTGTAGAATGTTTGGTAAGTAGTAAACAACCACTGTCTCTGGCTAATTTACACAGACTTGAACAGTTCATGAATAGTACTAGTCAATCAGGGCACAGTGCAAGCACTAGCCAGTACTGAAAACCTGTTAAATCAGTTCTGCATCAAGACTTATAGGGTACTTTAGTAGCTGGCAAACCCTCACGAAAAGCTCGGGTCAATCAGCGTACGAACGCAACATGATTCCGATCAAGAAACGTACATATAACCACTGGTGATCTTATGAAGCAGTACTGAGAAGTACCGAAGTTCCTCGGAGTAATCAACGCAGTCTTACAATCGACGTGGGACTTTTTGTGCAGTTGGGGGATCGTCTCCCACTGGCCTTTTGGCAGTTGCTACCTTTGTGTCCTTAATAACGGACTGCAGCAACGAAGATTTCAATCGGATATAGAGCTCTATGTGCTTCATTCCTTTGATGTGTAAGTTCTTGGCGGTCAGTGTGTTAAAATGGCACTGGCAAAGTTTACAGTAGAAGTTTGCTGTCCCACTTCCATGGACCCGTACAACGTATTCTGTGCCAACAGCATCTTTGGGTTGGGACGACAGAATAGCTTCTCCCATTTCACGATAACGCTCGGATTCAGACTGAACACTTTTCTCTCCTTCTTGCTCTGGATTCTGCTCTTTCTTTTCAACTGATTTCACAGATGAAGCAGACGAACTGCCCCGTTGAGGAATTTCCACTTTGTTCACAGCCTGTCTTCTCATCTGGGCAAGGCGTTCACTAACTAGCTTTGTCCCTGTGCCACCATTACCTTCCAAGGGCTTCGCTTTCTTGAGAATGGACTTGAGTGGCTTGGTGTCTACAACTTTGTTCTCACTAGGAGCAACTGATAAGTCTTTGGACTCCTTCTTTGATGGTAAGGGCTCTTCACGATAAACAGGTTCCATCTCCTCTTGCTCCTGCTGCTGCTGCTGCTGCTGCTGCTGCTGCTGCTGCCGCTGCTGAGGTTCAACATGATGGCCCTCTCCTTGGGGAGGAACAGTCTCCATATAATATTCCTCTGGTGCCAACTGTTGATCATACCCTTCAACTGCATTGTAACCCTCTTGCAGCAACATCTCAGTACCCTCAACAGTATAGCCCTGTTCAGTACCCTCAAGAGCATAACCCTGTTCACCAGCTTCAAACTCATTACCTTGGGTGTACTCAGTGCCCCATTCTGCCTCAGTTCCTTGGTAACCTTCTTGGTATTCCTCCTGCCATTGCCCTTCTGCTTCACCCTGATACCACCCCTCTTCGGTCTGGTATACGGCAGTCTCATCATACTGTTGCCACTCTCCACCTTCCTCAGAATACTGATATTGATACTCCCCCTCAGCCTCAGCATAAACAGCACCCTGACCTGCATCCAAAACCTCTCCTTCGGCTCCACCCTCTATGTACTCTCCTTGGTAGTCCTGTGTCTCCTGGTAAGCCTCTCCTTCCACAGGGTAATAGAGTCCATCCTCTCCAAGGTAATACTCTCCTTCATAACCAGCACCAGCTTCTCCTTCTGCACCTTCCTGAGGGTATTCACCTTCGTACCACTCTTCATACTCTTCTTGATCACCAGTCTGCCACTCTTCTTGAGGATAGGAGTAGTACTCTTGTTCATATCCTTCACCCTCTGCTCCCTCTTCGTAATAGTAGGTGTTAGGATCACCTCCTTCCCCTTGCTCAGTAGCCCATTCCTGGTTAACATTTTCACTCTCTTGATACGAACTGCCAAAGTTCTGCTCGTCAACAGCACTTTCAGTCTGAAATTCGTTAGCAAATTTGGCTGTCTCCCAATCAACATTTCCAGACTCACTTTCCATAGATGCTGACAAATCAGAGTAGTGAGCACTGCTGATGCTGTCATTTTGTCCTTCTTTGCTCAAAGATGGATGATCAAACTGTTGCTCTTTGGGATGTGGTTTTCTCACATTCTGTTGAATGCTTCTTCCCGGTAACACTTCTGGTTCTTTTGGTAGAGGTATGGAAATTAAATTTTGCGATTTCCGACTGTTTCCACGCCCTGTGTCTTTCCCTCTCTTGGCATAATGCACCGAAATACTGTTGGTATCAAAAGCTCCAGCTGAAGAGAACTCCACAATTCTTTCATCGTGAGGAGCTTGCAATGATCTGGATCTTTCATCGTTGCCTGAAAATTCATCTTGCCCAGATATGCTACTATAGAATGACTCGTCATCCGAGTCTCCACTAAAGCTGTCATACTTTCTTTTCTTAGCCTTTTTCTTTGCTTTCTTGGACTTCACTTTCTCCTTTTTCTTTTGCTTTCCAGTAGGCGACCTGGAGGATCTTTTCCCTGAGTCGAGAGGTTTTTCCTCGCCTTTGACTTTCTTCTTGTCCTTCTTTGTGTCCTTCGTTGTATCAGGCATCTTTTCCTGTCGATCAATTGTTATTTTAAGCGTATCAATCTTCATCTTCGAACCTGATTTCTCATCGCTTTTACCGCCTTTGGTCTTCTTTTCGTTCACGATCTTCACTTCTCTCACGGGAGAATCTCTCTCTTTCTTTATTAACTTGGG